GCGGCTGGCACCCCCTCTTTCTCCTTTGGGACGTGGGGTCTGTGCCTCTTTGTGGGCCTGGGGTCCCCGCGGCCCGGGCGGGGAGGTGGGTGCTGACTTCGCGGCCGACCCCCGGCTCCACTCCCGCGCCTCGAGTTTTCGCAGCTGTGCGTCTACTAGCCGGCTCCTTGCCCCGGGGCTCGGGACGGCGGGACCGAGGCCGAGCCGGGGTAGGACTGCCCGAGGCTCTCTGGTTGGAAACACTTTGGGGTGTCGAGTTACCGCAATTTTAAAAAACCTAGATCAGTGTTACCACTGTTTTAGAAGATGTTTTCTTTAAATTCGCTTTTTTTCCCCTCTTCGCTTAACCTTGGGACCACCCCTGTTTTCTCAACTTTACATTGAATTCTTTCCTGAATATATTCTTCACAGGATTAGAACCGTGGGGTGAGGCGAAAACGTGACAGAGATATTTGGTATTGACATTTACTGTTTACTGATACTTAATTGAGGATTAAGAACTGGCAGCGTTTAAACGCTGGACCGCGGAGTATTTTACAACTTTGAATGTTGAAGGTTGATTGACTTTGAAGACTTAGTTGAAAATTAACTGCCCTGATAAAATTACCATGAAGACTGATGTACTTCAATATTTTTAATAGCCATTTGAAAGAAAAAAATCTACACAAAACGCAAATGATTCAATAACCTATTTGATAGCTTTGAAGATAGAGATTTGTTCAAGAGGAGTAACATAAAATTTTAAACTCAAATCAGAAAACCGACTCATCATACCAAGTCAGACGAAGACTGAAAGAGCCCCTAAAAGATGAGATTAATTCTGAGAGAGTGAATACTCCATTGGTTGACTATTGCTATTTGGGTGGTTAAGATAACTCTTCTGGGAACATTTAGTGGTTAAAAGACTGAGTTATCTTAGAAATACTTTTCTGAACCTCAGTTACATTAGCTATAAAATATTTAGAGTACCTCAATAAATAGTAGTTTACTCTTATTATTGTTGTTACTTTTTAAAATACTATTTCAGCAAGGTCTTCGAAGATTGGAGGGCTCCCCAGAGGGGATAACAAATTGCGGTGCTTTCCAAAGCTAGTAAAATAAAAACAGACATTGCATTAGCCTGTGGAAACACCATTAACAACTTCTCAGAGTTGTCACTTTCAGATGATTTAGCCAGATTCGGAAATGTTATCTGATCACTATGGCCAGAGCCAGTGTCCTGAGGTTAGCCAGTGTTGCCCAGGGTCAGATTCACCGGGAGCAACTTCTTTTGCCTAAATATGAAAGGGCCAAGAAGAATATTATCCTACTGGTAGTTTAAAAGTGTAAATGCCAAAAAAAGAGTAAGTCCAAATGACAAAAGAGGGAAATTTTTTTAACTGATCATTATTACCTATAGTATAATTTTTCACATAATAAACAGTAAATATCCCCCAATTAAGAAACTGAAGTAAAGAACTTGTTCATAATAATAATGGTCTTGATGACAAACCAGCCTAGAATTCGGGAACCTATATTGGACTACTGAGTCACACTAAAGAAAAAATCGCAGTCTTGGATTGTGTCATGTGACAGTGATAACTCTCACTCAGAATAGGTATCCAATATTATTTCTCGAATAAATTCTTAGTAAACAGTAGTTCTTAGCACACAGAGGTGATCAGTACTACCTGGTGTACTGAGCTCATCTCCCTGCCTGCCTCTCCAGTGAAATAGAAAACTTCATGGAGAAAGACCGTTGTCTCTCCTTCCTTTGATTTCCCTTAGAAAGTTAGCCCTTTGGAGGAGGTTTAGATGTTAATATCTACCATCCCTTCCCAGGACTCAAAAAGGAGTATAACACCAATAAGTGATCCAAATTCAGTAGCATAATATGTAGCTGTGAGAATAATAAAAGCTAGTTTTCTGTGTGACAGGCTTAGGTTTCTCCAATATATCCAGTTTATTTCTACGTATACTGTACTATACTCCTAGGCTCTGGGGGCAAATCTAGAATTCCATGATTAATGCAAGAGCATTAGCCACAGTAGCCAGATCCTTGGAGAGTCCTTGTTTTCTCCTTTAAAAAAAAAAAAAATCTGCTGGTGAATGCTAAGTCTCAGATGATTATAGTTACTCAGGAAAGAGGAAGAAAAAAGCCAACATTAGCACAGGTTGTGACAAGTTTTAACATACTAAGAATACCATGGTTTCTCAGTAAGTAACTTGAGAATGTAGTTATTTTAATTTGGTTACCAAACAGCTTCACCTTCCGAAATCTCACTAGCTACACTCCATTCACTTGGGGAAAATTCAGGAAAGCCTTCTGCCTCCCATTTCAGCTCTGCACTTGAGTGTGGGTATGAACATAACCAAATGTTTATTTTTCCTGGAATTATTTTTTGGCATTTCAGCTTTTTGTTCAGCTTAATAAGATATTCTTAGAAATCCTTATATAGATTTTTCCTACCCTCAGTTTTCTGCGTTTCTTACTTCCGTTTGCAAGAGAGGAAAATAAGTGAAAATTCCTCAAAACTGTATTGTTTTCACCTTTTAGGGGGACAGGGCCCTTGTTACTGTTTTCAGCGTTTTATTTTGCCTACTGTATGAATACATGTGTGAAAATTTTAAATCATTAATAAATGATTTACAAACTATGTATTGTCACCTTTTCAAATAGTGAGGAAAATTACCTATGCATAAAAGAATCAAATGAATCTCTTGTGTAATGGTTTTCACAGGGAAATTATAAAGTTTAATAGCTAGCACTATGTGCCAAACTATTTGTTTTTACTTGCAGTGTGTCATGTACATATAATAATGCACTTCATAAACAGAGACTACTGGAACAGCCCTTAAAGGAAAAAGTATATGTGCAGTGAGTGCATTACAAACCACACCTCAGGTAGCCCAGAATTAGAGAAAATCAGAACGTGTAATAGGAAAAAAGGTGTAATCTTTTTTTGACCCTATAAATGCTATGCTATGTGTCCCTATATGTTCTCAAAGAAAAGAAAAAATAAAGGTAAAAGCAGCTTTTAAAATTATCTCAGTCACCTCTGGTCCTGTCCACCTGAAATGCAAATTCAAATAACAAAATTAAGGAGTTTTCATTTTTTTTAATGAAATAGTACCATTATTTGTCAAATCACGTTAAATCACATTACCATAAAGTTACTTAGACAAAGACCATTTTCATGATTTTAGAAGGGGTACACTTCATGGCTGAAGTTTAATCTTTTTTTTTTCATTGAGTTATAGTCAGTTTACAATGTGTCAATTTCTTGTGTACAGCACAATTTTTCAGTCATACATGAATTTACGTATATTTGTTTTCATATTCTTCTTCACCATGAGGTACTACAAGATGTTGAATATATTTCCCTGTGCTATACAGTATAAACTTGCTTATTGAAGTTTAATCTTTAAATACATTTTCCCTGCACACTTGCTTCTTAGCTAGAGTTAACACCTTCCTCACCAAACAGTGCTGCCTCCACCATACCAGGGTGTTGGACGATATTTAAGAAGTTTAAATCCCCTAATTTTAATACAGTTCGCTGACTGTATCCATCACATTGTTGTAATGCAGTGAATGAATTTTTCACATTCCCATTTTGAACTCATGAGATTAATGAGCAAAAAAAAGGAACTAAATAGCACGCTTAGGTTAGCAGGTTATTCAAAATTCCAAGCACAGCTGGTAAGTCTAAATCTGTTCTTTTCCTTTCTGACCACGTTCCTTTATTGACTTAGATATCTATGCAGCTTCAAATGTGCGCCTGTTAGGTCTTAGGTAATATACTGTTTTTTTCTCAAGAACTGAATCTTTAATTTTATTTTGAACTTGTAATATTTCTTTAATACACAGGTTATGTATATTTAAGAAAGACAGAAAGAAAATGTTGACAAGCAAAACCAAAACAGATGAACTACCTAGAGAAAATATTCCCCTCACAATTTTGGGGTAGGCATATGAACGCACTTAACAAATTGGGTCATACTATGGGTAATCAGATTTTTTTTGCTTGCCATTATAGCATGAACATCTTTCCATTTCAATAAACATCCACATCATCATTCTTCATAGTAAAGCTGAAACATGAGTTAAATAAACCCCTGTTGTTAGGAGTACACAAAACTGGACTCGGTTCTTTGTAGAAACATTACTGATTTCAAGATGTGATCCATACCAGGTGGATGAGTTCTGACCCAGAGAGACAGTAGTGTTTTTCCTCACGAACACCCTACTTCCTGGCTACTCAGACTTTCTTGTCACAATGCCTGAGCAAGTAAGCTTATTGGCTGGGCTCCTGGGCCCAGGAATGCTGCTGCTGCCGTTAATAGCTGTGTGAACAGTCCATCTATGGGCAACAGGCAGCCGCCTGGGTACCTGAATGTTTTCTGACTTAGGCCTGTGCTTCCCATGCTGAAATTTAGACCAGACACCTTCTCACAGCCAGATGATTAGAGATTCAGGAGTAGAAGAGAAAGCCTACAAAACAGTTCTCACTACAGGGATGGAATAAAAACAAGATGTCTTCTCCAAAGGCTGTGCCGGCTGAGCTGGAACCTAGAAATGACAGCCACTCCCGGTGTGCCTGGCCTGTCCTGGGACACGTGGGCGGAGTGAGGCCTCCATCAGGAATGTCTTTGCCAAGCCCACAGGGCACTGGGTGGGGGCTAGCAAATCACAGAAACTCAGGTTTCATCTGCAAAACAAGAGGCTGAATAAGGGTCTTTTCTAAAACTGATCAAAGCATATATTAAACTAACAAAAAAAATGGCTTCCGAGTAGGGACTTTTTTCATATGGTTTCATTGAAAGTGCAGTCCTGCTACTGTATCTATTGGAACCAACGTAAGGAAGATTTCTTTCTTTGCCAGCACCCCACAAGTGACCGTGACAAATCTGAATGGTCACATCCCCTGGTTTTTAAGGTAGTCCCCTATCTGACCTTGAGCTGAGGGCCCTGTCCCCAGGGTCCCTAATGCCCCTCTCATGGAATAGAAAAAGCTGCTATTTTTTTCTCTGAAATTATTTACTGGTTCTTCAATTTTTTGTTCAGCTTAATAATATATTAGGAATTCCCATGGATTTTTCCTACCCTGCCTTTCCCACTTCCATTTCCAGGAGAGGAGGCGAGCCCAGGGTAACGGAAGGCAGTCAGGGCAGACCTGCCCCTTTCAGAGGGTAGCTCCGGAGCCTGAAAGAATCTCTCTGAATCGGAAACTAAAACTGCGCCCTGTGTGCTGACGAAAGTTAACCACCGAGTTAGTCAAGTTTGAAACTCCTGCACGGACACAGTGCAGCAGATTCCTGCCATCTGACTCGTGTCCCTTACGGATGGGCCAAGAAAAAAATGTCACCTAAAAATCTTGTATTTGTTCATGCTTTGGTCCTGAATTGTAAAAATAATCCTGTCGTCGGAAATCTGTCCCGGGATAGGGTTAACAGCAACCCTTGGAACTAATGGAATTCAAAAAAAAAAAAAAGGCCATTGTACCGAGCCGCCCTGGAGCAGTTGGGAAGTCTGGCGCGAAAGGGGTGGCTTCGCTCGCCCCTACAGGGTTTTGTACAGCAGCCGGGCCCAGGAGAGGGGTGGGCAGGCGCTGGAGGTCCCATATCCCAGCGCCCGGCGGGGCCGCCTCCAGGAGAGGACACTTGTCACCCAGTGTCCTCACTCGGGCGTCGGCGGGAGGCCGCAGGAAGCCTCGGAAGGGCGGAGAAAGAGAGCGGGCGCGGGCGGCGGTGACTCAGCC